TCCTTCAGTAGGAGTTGATAGGTTTTTTGAATAGGAATCGAGGTTTATCCCTTGTTTCCTGTTTAGGATTGGGTTTCCGGTTCCTTCTAAAGTCTACTTCAACTCTATACGTCTAACGTCTCCACCTAAACTCTGAAATGTTATTTATTTATTTTCTTCCTTCAGTAGGAGTAGATAGGTTTTTTGAATAGGAGTAGAGGTTTATCCCTTGTTTCCTGTTTAGGATTGGGTTTCCGGTTCCTTCTAAAGTCTACTTCAACTCTATACTTCTAACATCTCCCCCTAAACTCTGAAATATTATTTATTTATTTTCATCCTTCAGTAGGAGTAGATAGGTTTTTGAATAGGAGTAGAGGTTTATCCCTTGTTTCCTGTTTAGGATTGGGTTTCCGGTTCCTTCTAAAGTCTACTTCAACTCTATATTTCTAACGTCTCCACCTAAACTCTGAAATGTTATTTATTTATTTTCTTCCTTCAGTAGGAGTAGATAGGTTTTTTGAATAGGAGTAGAGGTTTATCCTTGTATCCTGTTTAGGATTGGGTTTCGGTTCCTTCTAAAGTCTACTTCAACTCTATATTTCTAACGTCTCCATCTAAACTCTGAAATGTTATTTATTTATTTTCTTCCTTCAGTAGGAGTTGATAGGTTTTTTTGAATAGGAATCGAGGTTTATCCCTTGTTTCCTGTTTAGGATTGGGTTTCGGTTCCTTCTAAAGTCTACTTCAACTCTATACGTCTAACGTCTCCACCTAAACTCTGAAATGTTATTTATTTATTTTCTTCCTTCAGTAGGAGTAGATAGGTTTTTGAATAGGAGTAGAGTTTTTTATCCCTTGTTTCCTGTTTAGGATTGGGTTTCGGTTCCTTCTAAAGTCTACTTCAACTCTATACTTCTAACGTCTCCACCTAAACTCTGAAATGTTATTGATTTATTTTTCTTCCTTCAGTAGGAGTAGATAGGTTTTTGAATAGGAGTAGAGGTTTATCCCTTGTTTCCTGTTTAGGATTGGGTTTCGGTTCCTTCTAAAGTCTACTTCAACTCTATACTTCTAACGTCTCTGCCTAAACTCTGAAATGTTATTTATTTATTTTCTTCCTTCAGTAGGAGTAGATAGTTTTTTGAATAGGAGTAGAGGTTTATCCCTTGTTTCCTGTTTAGGATTGGGTTTCGGTTCCTTCTAAAGTCTACTTCAACTCTATACTTCTAACATCTCCCCTAAACTCTGAAATATTATTTATTTATTTTCTTCCTTCAGTAGGAGTAGATAGGTTTTTTGAATAGGAGT